AGGAGTTTGAGGAAGAAAGCAAGATAGGCGATGTGGTAGGATTCTGAAAGTAATGGGGAGAACAGGAGCTATGTTGAATGTGATATCCAACTACATTGGATTCTACTGAGATTTCAGAAAGATGAGGCTACAAAGGTGATCAATAAATGTAGTGACTTGTCAAGGACTGCTTTAGTGAACTAGTAGAAATGGAAGTCCAATCGGATGAAAGAACACACATAATGAGAAAATGGTGACATATCTGGGGCAATGTTTTAAGAAATTCTGCTATGATGCAGAGATGGGGCAGATGTAAGAAAAGGAGAACATTCTCTGAAAACCATGTTTATATTCAGATATAAGGCAAGAAGGATAAATAGACGAATCAAGGAAAAAAAGTTACTAAAAATGGGTAAATTGTTGGAAGAAAGGAGAAGTTGGCCTTTTAAAGGGGAAAATACACTTAAAATAGCAGAAATAAATACCAGGCATGGATGAGTTGGTGGAGGCAAGAGGGAGTGTTAGTCTTGAGTTATCTCTCAATTCTCCACAAAGACAAACTCTGTTATAACAGAAGGATCTCTCTTCTCAGCTTTTGATCAAGAAAATATTTCTAAATGTGTTTCTTCTCATCTTCTTTTGAAAGATAAGACCAGACCGTTGGGAGAAGGCAAAGGGCAGATTTCAATCAATAATTCACTATGGAAATAGGCAAGAGGACTCAGCACAAAATAAGATCACTTCGGTCAATGCAAAGGTGAGACTGAACATCCTGCAGGGAGAATGAGGAAACAGAGAGAAGGGCTCTTGGGGGGGGTTCAACAGAGTCAGGGAAGTGAAAAGTGACATTGTCAGTCAGTGTAAATGTGAGGAAGCCAATGCTAGAGCAAGCTGGCAATGGCCGAATTTAGGTGTCTGTCTTTCCAGAGACTAGGAAAAAGTGACCTTAACTTTCATTGTTGTTACATTGCCAAAAAAAACCAAAGGCTTTTAGGTCCTTGAAAAAAGAACCTGGACATTGTAAGACGCCCACTCATTTCCAAGGGACAAAGGAATGAGTCAAAACTGTAAGCGTTTCTTAGGAAATGTTCTAAGAGTTGGGGCTGAGCTGTTGACTGGAGCTAATGATACAGTATTTGGGTAGCTAGCTCTTAAAGCAGGATGAGGCGTCCCCTAAGAAGTGTGCAGCCTTCAATGGTAGAAACTGCACTGGCATTACAGACTAACACCACAGGGGGAGGGGATGGATGGCATTATTTGTGCTATCTGCAGCACTTACAGGCCAATATGGAGAGGACTTAGAGGAACCCAGCTGGTGTTAGGTCAAAGAGAAATTTCTGCTATTCCTCAGCCATCAAGAACACAGCTGAATTCTTTTTTTTTTTTTTTTAAGATTTTTTTTTTTTTATTATTTTTTTTATTGGAAAGGCGGATATACAGAGAGGAGAGACAGAGAGGAAGATCTTCCGTCCGATGATTCACTCCCCAAGTGAGCACAACGGGCCGATACTATGCCGATCCGAAGCCAGGAGCCTCTTCTGGGTCTCCCACGCGGGTGCAGGTTCCCAAAGCTTTGGGCTGTCCTCGACTGCTTTCCCAGGCCACAAGCAGGGAGCTGGAAGGGAAGCGGGGCTGCTGGGATTAGAACCGGCGCCCATATGGGATCCCGGGCGTGCAAGGCGAGGACCTTTAACCACTTGCGCCACCGTGCCGGGCCCAAGAACACAGCTGAATTCTTGAACTCACAGCATCTACTGTAGTTTCTCTCATAGAGAAATGTATCATATGGCGTTTTTAAAAAAGATAAATTTTTTTAAATTGGAAAGGAAGATATACAGAGAGGGAGGAGAGATAGAGATGAAGATCTTCCACCCGATGGTTCACTCCCCAAGTGAGTGTATCAGGCCTCCCACGGGGGTGCAGGGTCCCAAGGATTTGGGCTGTCCTCAACTGCTTTCCCAGGTCAAAAGCAGGGAGCTGGATGGGAAGCAGGGCCGCCGGGATTAGAACTGGTGACCATATGAGATCCCTGGCGCGTGCAAGACGAGGACTTTAACCATTACGCTATCGTGCCAGGCTCTCATATAGCATTTTGAGGGCAGATTTTATTGAGCCAATGTCAGTCACCTTTTCATCTGATATCGGTTCTATGCAGCACTAGGACACAAGCAAGGGATTAATTCAAACTGCTAGGTTACTGATTCATTCCTAAACTGTTAATAGTGCCTACTCTATGCAACAAATTTTGTCCCATGCTGTTAGGGATCAAAAAGACCTAGGGATAGCCATAGTGCATGTTAACTGCTTAACCTGCAGCAAGTGAACTTGGAATTTGTGCAGTTGGCTTCTCCTATTCCTAGCTACTCCACTTCCCATCCAGCTGCTTGCTATTGACCCTTGGGAAATCAGAAGATAAAGCAGGCACTTGAGTTCCTTTTATCCATGAGGAAGACCTGGACGGAATTCCTGGCTCCTGGCATGGGCCTGGCCCAGCCACTGCTGTTGTGGATACTGAAGGGAGTGAACCTCAATCTTTCTGTCACTCTGCCTTTCAAATGAAGAAATATTTTAAAAGATTCTGCCTGGGTTTTATTCTGTTTCCTCAACCTTTCCTCAAATTCCTACCACTTTCTACAGAGCTGAGATACCATTCACATTGAACATTTACAAAACCTAATCCTTAAGACAACATCAGATGATGTTTTAGCACACCCACAGCTTGGAAGCTGAATCCTTCATGTTAACTGCCCGGCAGTGATGGACTTGGTGCACAGAACTGATAATCACACGCATGGACTACTGACTGATGGTCAACAGCTGAAGGTCATTTGTGGGGTCTGGCCTTTATAGACTGAGGGTCACATAGGGTAAGGGAGGAGGCTTTGAGGAGCTAACACAGTTCCCACAAGCCTGTCTATGGAATCCATCCATTGTTTCCACACCCTGGCCTGGAAGAATCTCTCTGTTTTATATATCCAATCAATCATAGGTAAACAGGCTCATTCTAAGGACATATTAAGTCAAAACCACAAAGAAATACCGCTTGTACCCATTAGGATAACTTTGAAGTCAGAAAGTAACAGGTGTTGGTGAGATGTGAGGACACTAGAACTCTTCTACCCGGCTGGTAGGATTAAATGGGCAGTCATTTTGGAAAATAATACGGCAAATTCTCTAATGTTTAGACTTGGAGTTACCATGTCACCTGGAAAATTCCATTCCTGGATTTTAACTCTCCATTCACTAGAAATTAAAGCACAGGAGTACCTGTGCAAAAAAGTTGTGAGTGTTTATCGCAGCATTATTCATAACAGTCAAATAGTGGAAACATTATGCTCCGTGAAATAAGCCAATCCCAAAAGGACAAATATTGTATGTTCTCTCTGATATAAGCAACTTTCATACAAACTACAATAATGGGGTCTGGCGCAGTAGCTTAGTGGCTAAAGTCCTTGCCTTGCACACATCAGAATTCCATATGCTACCACTTCATATCCCAGCTGCTCTACTTCCCTTCCAGCTCCCTTTTTGTGGCCCGGGAAAGCATTCAAGGATGGCCCAAAGCCTTGGGACTCTGCACCCACATGGGAGACCTGGAAGAAGCCCCTGGCTCCTGGTTTTGGATTAGCTCAGCATCAGCCTTTGTGGCCACTTGGGGAGTGAACCAGTGGACGTCAGATCTTTTTCTCTGTCTCTCCTTCTCTCTGTAAAAACCTGACCTTCCAATAAAAATCAACAAATCTTAAAAAACAAAATACAAGATAAACGGATATACAGGCAAACATGCATATACATATATCTTCACAGATGAACTGCATAATGGAGCCAGCCCACCAGGAAGTGAAGCGATGTTGCAGTATGCACTTCTACTCTTGGATTACCAATGAAACTGAAGTCCATCTTGGACAACAGCATACTGCTCTAGCCTTTATACCAGTGTATGTACCTACAATACCATTAACATTTAAATAGCACAATGTTGGACTTGGTGTCTACTGTTGAAGGGCAATACTGTTGCAGAAACATGGGGGAAAACAGAGTGGAGAAGGGGGAAGCTCTGCCTACGCTGTCGCACTGTGACAAATAAAAGCTTGGGAGAAAAGAAGAAAATATCACATTCAAGCATTTTTACTAACATGTGGATATATACAAAGAAACATTAATAAAATCTCATGTAATTGCTGGTGAGAAAAGTGGAAATAATTGACACACACAGATAAACAAAACGAAGTATATCCATCAGCAGTAAAATGGGAGGAAATACTAAGCCATTTTATCACATGGCTGAACCTTGAAGAATTAAAGAAACTGGACACAGAAGGTCACACGTTACCATTGCATGACTTCAATTATGGAAAAAGTCACAAACAGGTACATTCATAAAAACCAGAAAGTTGCCTTTTGCTAGGAATGAGGCTCAGGGGCAGGAAGGTATAGGAGTGATGGGTAGCTAAGATATTTCTTTCAAAATAAAAAAAATGATATTCCTTTCTAAGGTGATGAAAATAATCTAAAGCTTTGGTTATAGCTGCACCTAGCAGTGGAAATTGTTTACCGTGCGAATAACAACTCAATCAAGCTGCCAGGAAAAGGAAGTCACCCAACCAACCATTTGAAGAGTCCAAGGACTCACAACCGCATTATTTCAAGTTTCTGTGGCCAACACATTGAAAGTTTATAGGGAAACATCCGTTTTCATGCATAAAATATTAAACGTGAGGAACGGCAGCGGTGGTGGGTGAATCGGCGAAAGGTTTGGGGCGGAAGAAGGATCCTGGTCTGGCCTCAGGTCCTTGGAGGGCCTTTGGGGCGGCCCTCTTGGGGTGCCCCGGGTCACCACGCGCCCCTCCTCCGGGCCTGAGTCACGGCACCGCCAGAGTCCCCACGCGGGGATGCTGCGGTGAGCGCGGCCAGGACGCCGCGGGGCCCCGGGGCAAAGCGTCGGGCTCTCGGCCACCCAGCGGCGCCCGCACGGAAAGCCAGGCCCGCGTCCGCCTCGCCGGCGGCGGCTGCTCCGGAGCTCCTCGGCGGGCGGCGGCGGCGGGGCCTGCCCGGGAGCCGCGCGCCCGCCGCACCTGCCCTCCATGGCGTTTATCCGGAAGAAGCAGCAGGAACAGCAGCTGCAGCTTTACTCCAAGGAGAGGTGCGCGGCGGGCCGGGGGAAGGAGTGGGGCTTGGATTCCAAGGCCGGGATGCCGGCCGGAGCGCTGAGGGACGGAAGCCGGCGCCTGGCGTGGCGGAGGGGAACCAGGCACAGAGCCGGGGGGCCGGGAGTGCGTGCAGGGCCGGTCCAGGGACGACGGGCAGAGCCTCGGGTCGCGGTCCACAGCCGGGGAAAGGGGGCCGGGCCGAGGGCCCTGGGGACCGAGCACAGCGAGGCGGAGCGGGCCGGCAGCCCGGTGTGCGGCTCAGCTCTCCCGGAAGGCCGGCGTGGCCGGGGCCCCGCAGTGCGGAGCCCCTCGCGAGGGTGAGTCGGCGTGCTCCGCGTCCTCCCACCTTGCCCTGGCCGCCTTCCCCAACCCCTGAGCCGGCGCCGGGAGCGGCACCGCTCGCTCGTTTGCCGGGACCGGACGGGGCAAACACTGGGGGGGTGGAAGTTGACACCTCACGGCGCGGCGCCCTTTACCCGCCGGCTTCTTTGGGCACCTGGCCGTGGCAGACTCCCTGCCGCCGGAGTGGGCTGGGAAGAGCGCCGCCAGAAAGGTCGCCTTCTGAGGAAAAGCCGCGGGCTTCTAGGTAAACGCTGGCTCCCCGGGCGATTCTGAGTGTGTTCGAAAGACTGCGCTCGAAAGCGCTGTGCGGCGCGGCGGGACTGGCGTCATCGCGGGCGCCCGGGAGAGGACTTGGAGGTCCCGCTAGGGGAAGTGCAGATGGGTCCACAGCAGCGTCGCTTCAGGCTTGTCCCAGCCCGGAGAGAAAGCTCCTTCTGTGACCGAAATACCGTGCTGATCCTCCGGGACTGTGGTCCTGGGTGCCAAAGCAACCAGGACGGTGTTTGGACAAATTGGGCTCTGGTCCCCAGAGCTGCCCCCTTCTCCTACCACTGCAGTCTTTCTTGCCCATACAGGTGCAAACTTGAGGGTGTGTGTGTGTGTGTGTGTGGTTTGGCAGTGTGAATTCCATCCTTTACATCCAAAGGTTCACGGACCTAAAACCACAGGGCTACTTCAGAAAGTTTGCGTTAAAGTAGAGGCAAAAAGATGACTGTTTGGGTGCCAAAGAGATCAGAAGTCCACACATAGCTTTTCTCATAGTTTGTATGTTCCATGTACTCTGAGGTGAGGTCCTCTGGTATCTTGCATCTGGTCTCCGAAAGTGTTTTTGGTAGGGCGAGTCAGTCACAGAAAGGATTTTGTTTGTTAAATAACAACCAGATTATATAACTAAAATAACTTACACTTGAAGATGATGTTGTGCCTGTATTTACATTGTGTGTTTCCTGTGGAAAGAGTTTGCCGGAGTTTCTTTGTTCAGTGTCATCACCACTAAGGCGCGTTGGGATTCTGCATTGAGAATATAAACGACCGAGCCTTAAGCTGTAAGGACTTTGAAACGCCTGAGTTGCCATCCAGCTGTAAGAAGTGTCACTTGTAACAATTCTTGGCTTGCTAAACGAGAAAAGCTGTTTTCTTTAGAGCTGCTTGTTATTTAGGTGGAGGTCATTTGTGTTTGATCAGGTTAGCGTAGGTAGCAGCGTGGTGTGACACAGGTCTTCAAGTCTGCACTTGTCCTTGAACATCTAAGCTGTATTGTTAGTGTTCTATTGATCAGACAACAGCATGACTAGCTAGCAGCTCTTACAGCGACACATTGATGCTCAGGAGGCATCGGCCGCTTCTGAGTTTCAGTCATCTGAAAACGTTGATGCCACGTGTGTTGTATTTCTTTCCTCTTGCTGACGGCTCAGATCCTTTAATGCTGCAGCCTTGGGCTGATGCGCATGCTCCAACTAGGATGGTGTTAGATGCTTGATCCAAAGGACAGGAATCTGTCACACAGTCCGACTTGGACCAGGGGCAAGCGGGCGCGTTCGAAGTCACAGCTTTATTGGGCTTCGATATTGACCATTGCCCTCCCCCTCAATTTTTTTTTTTTTCTGGCTTATTCTTTGGAAATGGTAGGTAGAAATTAGTGAAAATAAGTGATGAAGGTGATAAAGGTGATGCCTCCGATTTTCTCAGAGAACTGTTGCTTTCCTTGGGAAAACTGAAGAGTTTGCCAGGGGTTACCCACTGAGGCCTCACCTTTTTATTATGAGTTCCTTGAAGGTAGAATTTTTATTTTATTTATTTCTTTGTTCATTTTTTACTGGATGTTGCATTTAGAGTAAGTGATATATTTTCCAAGAGAAAAAAAGACTGGGAAATTCTTACATTAGTGGCATAAGCTAAGATGGTGGCAGAAAAAAAAATGGAGACAAGTGCACAGATTTTAGTTATTTGGGGGGTGGAATGGGGTAGAATTGACAGGTTTTGGTGAGGTGTATAGCACAAAGGAGATGTTAAAGAATCCAGGTTCATATTGTCAGATAAAATGCAGGATACACAGTTAACTTTCAGTAAACAGACCTGGTGTGATGGGATGGCTCAATTGGCTAATCGCCCTACAAGCACCGGGATCCTATATGGGCACCAATTCATGTTCCAGCTGCTCCACTCCCCATTCAGCTCCCTACTAATGGCCCTGGAACGCAGTGGAGGATGGTCCAAAGCCTTGGGACCCTGCACTCATGTAGGAAACCTAGAATGGACTCCTGGATCCTAGCTTTGGATTGAGGTCTGGTCACTGCAGCAACTGGGGTAATGAGCCAGTGGTTGCAAGATCTTTGCCTCGCCTTCTCTCTAAATCTGCCTTTCCAATAAAAATAAATAAATCTTCAAAAGTTTTTCAGATAAGCAATAGTGTTTTACTGTAGTCAGGACCTATAGGTATTTTAGTAGAGTGATATTTATTGCTTATTTGAAATTAAAATTTAACTGAGCATACTATATTTTTATTTGCTAAACACTTGATCTTGGCCAAAAATCCAAAAGTAATAGAATTGCTTTTGACTAAGATCAAGTGTAAGTATGACTGTTCTGCCATGTGAATAAACTTACAGTGGTGCCATTTATTTGTGACATTTATAAGTCAAGGTTGGGTAATTTTAGAATTATAAAACACACAAAAACTTGGTCATTCACATTGTATACTGAATTGTCCTGGTTAAGATTTAGGCCATAGGGCCCAATGCCATTGCCTAGCAGCTAACGTCCTTGCCTTGAACACGCCCGGATCCCATATGGGCTCCAATTCTAGTCCCAGATGCCCCACTTCACATCCAGTTCTCTGCTTGTGGCCTGAAAAAGCAGTGAAGGATGGCCCAAAGCGTTGGGACTCTGCACCCACGTGAGAGACCTGGAAAAGCTCCTGGCTCCTGGCTTCAGATTGGGGCAGCACTGGTCATTGTGGTTACTTGGGGAGTGAACCATTGGACGGAAGATCTTCCTCTCTGTCTCCTTCTCTGTGTATCTGACTTTGTAATAAAAATAAACAAAAATCTAAAAAAAAAAAAAAAAGATTTAGGCCATAGCAACCATATTGATTTTATTCGTTTTAAAAGTCCTGTGCAGGTGCTGATAAAAATAGAATAGTTTACCTGTTTTCCTTGATATTGTAAATATTCTGTACTGGTGATAATGCAGTTGTTTCCCTGATGGGAAAAAATGATGTTCAGGGCAAGTTTCTTTGGAGGGGGAGCTGTGTTCTTGTCCTTACAATGCCATAGAATAAATCACTTGATTGTGGTTTGTAAGCTACCATGCAAGGCGAAACCAACTGAGGTCCATAATTCTCTTGGGTGTTTGCATATTATATTTATAGTCTTAGAGGCACTGCTGAGATTTCAACTTTGCTGCTCTTGGCTATTCAGTTATTAAATTTCTTTTACTCAACATGTTTGTTTCATCAACTGAGTTTGTATTCATTATATTAAATAGTTGTTGAGAGGACGAAGTGATTTGTGACACACCAGTGTTTAGTTTTTCATTTCTTAGGCTGATCATATAGACGTCATCTTTTTAGGACATACCAGGTGTTTAAAAATAGATAAAATAGATGCAGGCTTAGACTGCTGTGTCTGCCCCAAACTGTTTTTAATCTTTTGTGTTGTTTGTTGTTTGCTTAGATATGGATTTCTTCTTTGTTCCTCTTACCTGGGTTCCTAAACTGAAATAGTTTTAGAGAATGTGGAACTAACTCTTTGAATGTTACTTCTTACATGTTTGTATATGTCTCAATGAATCTGATATTTTTCTTTTCTGTGGTCCACTGGGGATTACTGAAATCCATTTTATAATTTACTAGCTTTTTCTCCAATTGCCTTATTTGCTGTGTAACCTACAACTTACATTTTAGTCTTAATTATTTTTAAATTTTTCATTCTACATCGTTCATGTTTATGCCTATTCTTTTCTTTAAATTTACAGAATAATTCACATGTTACAGAATATTTGTAGATTATTAGATTAATTTACTACTTCTCTGACTTAGTAATTATGCTTTCTTGTGTGTTGTGATTTTTGATTGTGCTTTCTTTTCTTGAAAGTTTTTCAGTGGAGATTATAACAAGCACAAATTTAAAGGTCATTTTTTCAGAAGGCTTATGTTTGTTTGTGCTGGGTCAGGGGAGAAGCCACATTCATTTTTCTTGCATTTGATTGTGCTATCCCCTTGAATGTCTTTATAATAAATTCAGGGTCACTGTTCCTTGAAAAGCTGAGCAGAGACCCAGGAAAGCCTGCCTTAATGCCAAATTCTCTAGGTTTAGGTTTTATGTTTGTTTTGCACTTCTAGGACACTCTATTAGTTTTCCCTTCATTCCAGCTAAGCATTTTAAGATTTTAAACTAATGTATCCAGCAGTTTCAGAAAGCCTATAGTTAATTGTTTTATGGATAGTTGAACTGATACCACAAATGAAATTCGTAATGATTTCTTTGATCCGTTTTATGTAATAAATCTAAGACTTACTGCTTAAGTAAGAAATTTTGAGATAATTTAATCTTTATCTCTCCCTAATTTTATGTTTGAAGAGCAAGAGACTTAAGTAAGTAAAGTGATCCAGTTAAGGTCAAATAACAATGTCATTTATTGAGCCAAGGCT